CATCCTCCTCCTAACCCCCCCTCCTCTTAAGGAGGCTTACGCCTCTTGCGTTCTGAACTACACCTCACACCTCTAGGTAGTGGAACGCCTCGCGTCATGCCTCCGTGCTTTAAAACATTGCTTTCTATTAAGATGATTGATAGAAGAGTTTAGAGAGAAGAAGAGAGATCTTAATATGGTTTTCATTGATCTAGAGAAGGCATATGATAGAGTCCTTATAGAGGTAATGCAGTAGGTTTTAGAAAAGAAAGGAGTCCCAAATAGGTGGGTGGACTCTATTAAGGATATGTATGATGATCCAAAAACCAATGTTAGAACACCTATGGGAGAGATGTCAGATTTTACATTAAGAATGGGTCACAGAGGTTTAGCACTTAGTCCTTATTTATTTGCGTTGGTGATAAATGAATTGACCAAACATATTCAAGAGGAGGTCCCATGGTGCCTGATGTTTGCTAATGACATAGTATTAATTGATGAAACTAGTGAAGGATTAAATGCAAAATTAGGTTTATGGACAACTGCACTAGAAAAAAGAGGTTATAGAATAAGTTTGACTAAACAAATATATGCAATGTAATTTAATAGTAATAGGAGCGTGAACTAGGATGTGCATAAGACTGCAGACCAAGAGATAACTCAATGTGACCCTATCTCCTCACATGTGCTTTCTGTGTAAGAACAATGATGAAACCGTCTTTTATATATTTTTATCCTGCCCTTTTGTACTTTTTTTTGGGGTGCAACTTTGTTCTCTCTTAGGGGCGGGTGGACTCCTCTGCAGGATGTGGTGGGTCTCTTTGATCCAAACTTCTTGAAACAACCTAAAAGGGTGAAGAATTTTGTGGAAAGCAGTGAGAGCCGCCATGTTATGGACTGTATGGGAAGAAAGGAATGGGAGGATCTTTAATGGAAAAAAAAATCAATCAGAAATTGAGGTCGTGGATTTGGTAAGAATTAAAGTTGCACATTGGGTGAAAACCATGGAGGACTTTCAAGGTTTCTCAACAAATGACATTTTGAGAACTTGGAAGGAAGTGGCTTCTGTAGAGATGTAGAGCTATAATTAGTGCTGCTATATTGCCGTTATTTTATTTATTGTGGTCCCCACTACTGCTGTTGGGTAGTTCCTACTTTATATTTGTTGTTAGGCTGCTGTTAGCAATGTTAGTTTTGTTAGTTATTTGCTTATGTAAGCAGTAGGGGCATTAATGTAATTGCCATCTATATTTTGATGTTATTATAAATAGCTGAGTGGGGTGGCAACTAAAGCCATCTCTCTTTCTCTCATCTTTCTCTTCTCTCTTCTTTTTTTCTTCTTCTCTAGTATTTTTTCCTCATTGAATTGCAACAAGAATTGGACTGATTACAGTCTTGATTTGCCAACTTGGTATAAGAGCCAATCTAGGGTTTCTCATGTGTGTCTAATCCAGCCGACCACATGAGAACTTCCTGGGGCTGGAAGCTTAGAAAGATCTATCCATCGGCTGATTCTTGGAGGTTACCAGAAGGGTTTAGCAGTTGTCCAAGGGCTTGTAGAGGCTTGGAGAGTGTTTGGTAATCAGGAAGAATCAGAGAAAGATCAAGATTAGGGTTCAGACTGAGATTGGAAATGGCAATCAGATTTTTTCTGGGTAAGTTTCTATCTTTCCTTGAGATCGGCACCAGTCAGAGATAGATAGGACCTATCTAGAAGGAGCGGCTGAGCTTTCCTTTATTTTCTCAGGGTTTTCTCTAGGGTTTCCTCTTAACCTTACGATCAGACCTGATTGTGACCTATTTAGAAGGTGCGACTGAGAATTGTTTCTGTTCTCTCAATGTTTTCTCTAGGCTTTTTCTTAACCCTATGATCAGACCTGACTATTAACACCTTTTGGATGATTCGTAAATCAGTTTCAGCATTCCAAAATGTTTTCTAAGTGATTTCTAGACTTGTTTCAGCTTCCAAGCTTGCTTTTCTTGGGTGAGAACCTTTTTTGGGGGAATCCCTTTGCTGAGAACTGGTTTCTCCTGATAAACCTATTACAAAAATGGCAGGAGCTGAGTTTAAGACTCAAGGGTAAGGTGTTTTGGGGGCTGGAAACATGGGAGAAAACAATTTTCAGATTACTACTGTTAAATTTGACGGTTCTAATTACTTGGAATGGTGTTAGTCAGCCATGATGGCGATTGGGGGCAGAGGGAAGTTAGGTTATGTGAATGG